AGTCCAAGTGTTGGGATATCTGGAACATGATCAGATTGCAGGCTAATAGTGGTAAATACTCACAATGCACTCATGCTACACATATCGAATACGACTGAAAAGTATGACTGAAGAAGCATTTCACCGAAGACTTTTGAGAGTTGAAGACTGAAAGATTGTTCGCTACTGTACATGGGCTGGCTGCTGCAAGTCCTTGTTTAGGCAATATATGTACGTATAAAATATGCCGCTGCTATTCGGAATGGTTCTAATATCCAGGAACACAGGACACCAGAAAGGGTACAGTTGGTGATTGTTTTTCAAAACCAAGCCAACTTCAAATGCCGATATTTTACTGTGATAATGAAGAGTTGAGAAGGAACCGGTGAGCACGGCAGTAAAATGTTATCTTCAAAAGGCAGCCTTCTCAGATGAGCAAAATAATTGTGAAAGACATTGATTTATTCTCAAAATCACCTGTGAATCACTGAAACAAGAAAAGATCAGGGAGAGAAGCTCGAAAGGTACCGATAACTTTCAAAGGCACTACTAGCGTTGGAATTATTTCTGAGACGTCCCCTCAAATGAATCTTGGCCACCTCGTATACCATATATCAGGCACTGTCAAATCGAAGAACGGCGTAGACAAAGTTTTCTAAATGCGCAAAGATTGTATTGCCTGTATACCACACCCCGAAGAGGACGAGTTATAACGCCGTTTATGAGGCTGCACATTCACAAGGGACACCCATTTAGAAATCCAAACAACTATTCGTAACCTATGAAAGGCGTTTTTGGACAATTCGGCTCAATGTAGTTCTGTTTGCGAAGTTGTAAACAACAACAACATCCCCCTCCCCCCACACATCTTCCATGTCATTTGGGTTACGGTAATCTCGTACAACCTCTGTTTCCACTGGATTTAGGAAACCTTAGAAAAAAANAAAAAAACCCTTCTTTGCCACAGGTGCACTGTCCCCCACCAGCTAGCTTTTCAGCTTAGAAAGGATCTCTAAAATATCATGAACTGTGCCTCCAAAGCCAGTACAACGAGATTAGCAGTAAATAATAGGACTCCTGCATAGGTGTCTCCATAAAATTTTGGATGCTGATATAAAAATCACTAATTAACAAGAAAAGTATCAAAATTGGAACACATGGGATTGCAGGATAGAGAGAGAAACAACAAACGACTACTCTTTCATCGGGCTGGTTATATTGAAGGAGACTGCTTATTAGACTATCGAATCGGATCCGTGGATAATGAACAAATCGAAGATGACCGGTTCCTCACCGGTTCTAACATAAGGCTAGAGCTAAGCGCAAATGGGAGCTGCCCCACTTGGTTTCAGTAGGTCTGGGTTTCATGGATGCCAGGAATAGTTTATTGTTTACTTGAGGCTTCAATGAGAAGCCTTTATGAGTCGTATGATCGACAAATACGGCGGCGATGAGACTACGAAACTATCGCCGGCTCAAAAACAACAGAAGCAGGAGGCACTTGGGAAATTTTATCTACGGAATGGGAAGGGGTATTACAGTATCCGGTCCGGTCTGTCCGTTATGGACAAACCAGTCACACAGTATCTTCAACTCAAGAGCAGCAGCAGGCTGGCCAATTCCACATCGGCAACAGACAAGTCTGCTTCTCAATCTTCAGTGAGCCCTATGACCTTCATAAGACTGTCTTCAGGAAAACTGGTAGAAATAGGGAATGGTAAACCGTGCGGAAACAAATGACCATCATAGCATGAAGGGATGAGTTCATAGTATCTTCACTACCAAATTATATGTCTGCTTCTTCACAAAGATTTGCTGTTAGCGTAGCTCAGAAATGGATAGAAATAGATCCAAGATGGGTACTGAACGAGGGAATCTTAAACAGTTTCCGAAAAAAAATAAACAAAGAGGGGATTTTGTTTATTTATTTATTTATTTATTTATTTATTTATCATGCACACAGGGATGCGCCATCGGCACCGAGAAGAACTAAAATGATATGAAAAACTCCAAAAGAACAGAAGAATCGACGAAAAGTAGAACAGAACAGGACGGAACAACGCCCACTTCACAAAAAATTTCCCATTTGTCAGACGTCACCAAAACACAAAGTCAAAAGTAGAGACCTACGCATGCGTAGCACATTTATCGCAGAAGAACACATGATTAAGCTCAAGCAAGGAAAAAGTTAAGTAGCAAAGCAAGGGGGGGGGGCTTGATTGTTCTTAAATCTCAATGATATTCAATATAGAGAGGCATGTAATAAGTGGCAGTAACGAATAATATCAAAGATCCTTTTTGAAGTAGCAAAGTATCACGACAGCAGTTTATTTTTGCGAAAAAAGAAACAGATTCTCATAAAAAGGGAGTGATTTGAAAGGCATTTCGAAAATTACAAAGAATTAAGCTAACTGTCGAGTTGTGAAAACAATGCTTGGATGAGACAAAACCGAATCGAAAGATTCTGAGTAAAGTTACTGATTTGTTTCAAGGTTAATTCTGCTTTTGCATGGATCTGGAGGCACAAATTGCGATAATTTAGAGACATGTAGTCTCAAACGGAATAATGAAAGTGGTTGTTCACAGTAGTGCAAAAATGGCGAAGAAAACATCTAGCGTATTTGGAGAAATACAAAGGTTCAAAAAGTAGCAAAATTAGGGGTAAACGAAAATGTGACGACAAAAGTTGTATGGAAAGGTTATTTGGACGAGCTGTCCGAGTGTGTGTATGTACAGCTGGTTACAGTAAGGCGCGCAACGTGCATATGTCTGTAAGAGGCCTCCGCAACACCTTCAGAACTCGTCCGCCTTTGGGTGTGTACGTCAGCTGAGCCGGTGCTAGGGCACTTATTGCGCCCTTCCTAAGCGGTTTTTAGACAAGCCAGCGTCCCCTGTAGGTCACAGGTTAATCTCAAAGGGAAGACTCGGAGACCATTTTGTCATTAGCTGTGCCTCTAACTGACCAAAGACTATTTTCTCCATCCTTCTACTTCTTGGTGCTTTCCTCCGTGGTGATGAGTGCCAGATTCAATGAGGGTCTAACTTGGATATTGAAATATTTTCTTTAATTCTATGGGCCCTAGATAAGTATTAAGTGAATTCAGAATCCATTGAAGCTAATACATAAAAAATTTTCACATGAAAAGCCTTTTATTTGAGCTTGTTCTCGCAAGATTCGAGGTAGCAGGAAAAGCGCTCGTCCATATGAAATAATAAAAAATTAACAATGAATTCTCATACGGATTTCCATGAAAATATGAATTTTCTGAATGCGACCGACATGAAACNTTTCACATTCTCCATCACACATTCAACATGGAACGTCTACTTTTTGCTTTCGTCCTCATTGGAACTACACTGGTATGTTTGATGCGATGCTGTCGTTATGATAAGGTTATAAGTATCGCTTTCCTATGAGGCAGGTCAAATAGAAGAACACAACGTTTAGAAAAAATTCTTTGAAGGCTCTCCCACCAGCGCCGCCACCTGCATTTGTTGGACGAGGACACGATACAGCGTACGTGACTATTGTCACCGACCAACCATATAAGCCATCGAAAGCTAATCAGTGTATAAGCTACTTCCCCAAAACCAAGGTCAGTGGGAAGACAATAAGAGGAAATTTTTGATTTCTGAAAAATTTATTTCAGATGGAACAATATGCTTGGCAACTTGGAGATTTTTCAAACCTAGAACTTACTAATGTCGGCGGCAATTTCGCCTTTACTTTCATACTTAAGCAATGCGTTTGCGGATATGTACTGAATGAGTCGTTTTTTTACAAATTTTTTTTTCTCCCAGGTTGACACCAGTAGTCCGCTGTTTTTTATTCACACAAAACAATAAACCTTATTTTGAGGTGAAAAAGTGGGTGAATCAAATCGTACAGAGCTCCCAGCACTACACAAGTGGAGATGCTGTATGCTTCTACGAAGGATCATCATTTGTAAGAGATGAGACAGGAACAACAGCAACAACTACGACAACAGCAAGCGTGCCTATAGTAAGTCCACTTACAGTCTATCCTCCTCCACTGAATCTATATCATGTAAAGATCATGTAAAGGAAATTATGGGCGCCAAAATTCAGAAACTTCTAAGATAGAAGTAACTTATTAAGTTCACTTCATCCGCTAGCAATCAGTCGCGAAATACATGGATAATGAAGTGAAACTCCCAATATCGTTCTAAAGGGGAGTTTCATTCAATGTCACTTGCAATCATGCGAGAGGGGGAAGGGCATCATGAAAGTCTTTGTGATTCTTACTTGATCCGTATAGGAGGCTATAAAACGATATAAAGAAGAATATTCAATCGGAGACAAACCAGGAAAAAGGTAGAAAGGCGAGTGTTTCTCAAGATAGGACACTTAGAATGGTCCGTCAGCGAGTCGATTGTGATCTGAAAGATCAAGAAGAAGTCAACGGGCACGCTTATCGGAGTTGTGGGGTTGTCAGAATGACAAGCGAAAGCTTCATTGCCATTCCTATCGTGAGCGGAAATCCCACTTCATTTCCTGTTTTATCAGGCAGTGTAGAGTGAAAAAATGCAGGTTGTCGACTGGTTAAAGTTGAGACACCCATCCCTGCATCGTTTTCTCTAGCTCGGAAATCTTTTTGAAAAATCATTTGCGTTTTCGCTATAATTATCGAACGTGCAATTCCATACAAAAAAAGGTGCTATGACAAAAGTTTATTGAGGGGGTCATTTTCCAGGGTAAAACGCCCGTGGTTTCTTTTGATGCCGGCGAGAAAATTGACAAAGAACTGCGCTCAAAGGGATTAGTGATGGTCGTTATGGAGTAATTATCCAACCTCCGCTTCCTGAGACAGCTCGTAGTCCTCTCAGCAAGACGGTTCTCTAACCTACAGAGCCGAGCTCGCCCGAGCTACAGTGTTGACGACTCTAGCTGCCCGACTTCATTATCAAAGAGGAATGATCATCCTGCATTTAGATCTTAACTTTCTTGACTCCTTGGTATGGTTCCTGGTTAAAACAGTAGAGATGGCAGTCCCAGTTTGGAGTCCTAGGACGCAGACATAAGAACTACCGAAATGAAATGGAAGAGGATACCTGCATGCAACATGAGAGGAGATCGAGAGCAAAATTTGGGCCTCTACCCGTGCTCGTGGGGAAACTGGAACTGTGATTGTAGCAAGTTGTAGCACATAATGTAGGCAAGCCTATATATACAGGGTGCGTCATAAGTATGCTAACAACTTTTCGAACCTCCATAATTTCCTTGTTCGGAGGGTTTCTCCAAATCTGCACCTCCCCTTATGTCAATGATATACTTTAGGCCACATATTTACATTGGAGTTCTCGAGTCGTCAAATTCCGAAAAACAGTGGAGCCTCGCAAGTGTCCACAACCGTTACGCCTTTGCTCGCATTTGAAGAATAATTTTCAGGGATTGCTCCTCGTTTCAACATTTCGCACATGATAGTCTCTTGAATCGCGATGCGTAGGCAGGTCAACGACGAACCTCAAAATGGTCGCTTTGTCTCACGCACTACCCCTTTTCTCAATACAATTGTTTGGGNGCTAACAACTTTTCGAACCTCCATAATTTCCTTGTTCGGAGGGTTTCTCCAAATCTGCACCTCCCCTTATGTCAATGATATACTTTAGGCCACATATTTACATTGGAGTTCTCGACTCGAATCGTTAAATTCCGAAAAACAGTGGAGCCTCGCAAGTGTCCACAACCGTTACGCCTTTGCTCGCATTTGAAGAATAATTTTCAGGGATTGCTCCTCGTTTCAACATTTCGCACATGACAGTCTCTTGAATCGCGATGCGTAGGCAGGTCAACGACGAACCTCAAAATGGTCGCCTTGTCTCACGCACTACCCCTTTTCTCAATACAATTGTTTGGGAAAGAGTACTCTGCGGAAAATTCAAAAACACGAGAAAAACGACTGCTGATTTGTTGGTATGTTCTACTCCGGTGAGAGGAGTCTACCCTGAGTAAATACACTGTATCCGGATAGGATTTAGAAGCTCTACAAGCTTCTTGACGTGAAGAAGTTGGAGAGAAAAAGTGCTGCGCGCTTCTTGCGCGCGGCACGCGCTTCGCCACGCTTGTATCTGACTAAAGGGTATTTAGCGCAGAAGAAATGTTGAGATTTCAGAGTATACGTATATTTTACACTGCGAGTGCTGAAGCCGCTGAGAAAAGTCGGATCGCCTTCGTAGCCGTTCCCCTCTTTCATGATGGTTTGAGCTAGAATCTCTACCATCAGAGCGATATCGCAAATTTCAGATAAGAAAAGCGCGAAATGCAATCCGAACCTCTTTACCAAGGGTTTTTCTGAAAGAATGCAGCTGAGGGCCGAAGATTCCTCCAGATACTTTCGAAAACTGTGGCGCACCCGCTCACGAATGGGAAGTGAAAAGTCCTGAGGAAAGAAAAAACGCGATTTTATCCTAATTGCAACCCTTCTACGGATTTTTCGGGCAACAGTGTTCTGGTTTACTGGATATAGTTCGTGCTGGAGAGGAAAGCCTGCGCTTCCGAACGCACCACTGTTGCTGCTTCTGAGAAATCTCTCTGGACTTTTTCAAGAAACTCTGCGTACCACCGTCGATGAGTAGCCGAAGCATCTTCGAGATATAATAAGTACAGGAGACGGCTATATAAGATCGCTTTGTGTTCGTTTTGTAGATGCGATGCATAGTAATAATCTCNTTCTGTCGTCCAATTCTTTTTTACCATATTTATGATCCACCGTGTAGATTCCATTGGCATTCTGACCTCAGAAGCTTTAAATATATCGCCGTGATATGGCGCCTATAGTCTTGGGACACCCTCTACATTTACCACATATGCCAGTATATGAAGAAGAACCACCAGTGGTGGACCAAAAGGTCTTGTCCTTGTTTGGGAGCACATTTACGATAAACTATTCATTTCATTTTATTCAGATGAATCACCAAAAAACCCTGAAACAATGTACCTCCAAACTGATTAAAAGGGAAGGTACCGGGATGGATGGTTTAATTGGGTGTCCATTTTTTGCCCAATCCCAGCTTTTTGCACGAGGAAATCATCTCACTAACCCCGGTGCTCCTCTCCATTGGGACTACATTGGCATATTGGTATGATGTTATCGCTACGATAGAGCTATGAGTATCGCTTTTCACCCCCTTAGGCAGGTCAAATAGAAAAACACAACGTTCAGGAAAAATTCTTTGAAGGCTCTTCCACCAGCGCCACCACCTGCATTTGTTGGACGGGGAGACGATACAGCGTACGTGGCTATTGTCACCGACCAACCATATGATCCATCGAAAGTTAACCAATATATGGGCTACTTCCCCGACACCAAGGTCAGTGGGAACTTTTCCTTCTGACAATAATAGAGAATTTTTGGTTTTTGGAAAATTCATTTCAGATTGAACAATATGCATGGCAGCTTGGAGATTTTTCAAACCTAGGAGTTACTAATATCGGCGGCAAATTCGCCTTTACTTTCACAATTTCGCGTAGTGTTTGCGGATATGTACTGANCAAGACAATAACCCTTATTTTGAGGTGAAAAAGTGGGCGAATCAAATCGTACAGAGCTCTCAGCACTACACAAGTGGAGATGCTGTATGCTCATCCGAAGAATCATCGCTTGAAAGAGAAAAGACAGCAACAACAACAACAGCAAGCTCACCTATACTCAGCCCGTTTGCAGCCTATTCTCCTCCATGGGATATATACAATGTAGGTACATCGACCTTATATACCTTAGTTGAGTAGAGCCACCAGTGGTAGACCAGAAGGTCTTGTCTTTGTCTGGGAGCACATATATGTTAAACCTTTGACTTCAATTTATTCCTAGATAAATCGTGAAACAAAGTACCTCCAACTGAGCCTAAGAAGGGAAGGAGTACCAGGGTGGAGTTGCCCATTCTTTGCCCAATCCCAGCTTTTTGCACAAGGCTATTATCTCACCCATCCCGGTGCTCCTCTCCATTGGAACCACACCGGTATGTTTGATATGATGCTATCGCTATGATAAGAATCTGGGTATAGTTTTTAACCCCCTTAGGCAGGTCAAATAGGAAAGTACACCGTTTAGAAAAAAATTCTTTGAAGGCTCTCCAACCAGTGCCACCACCTCCATTTCCTGGACGAGGAGACGATACAGCGTACGTGTCTTTGGTCACCAACCAACCATACGATCCAACAAAAGTTAAACAGCATATGGACTACTTTCCCCAAACAAAGGTCAGTGAAAAGGTGTTTCCGGACTATAAAAAGAAGTTTTCGATTTTTAAAAATTCATTTCAGATTCAACAATATGCTAATCAGCTTGGAGACTTTTCAAACCTAGGAAGTACTAATGTCGACGGCAATTTCGCCTATACTTTCACAATTTCGCGTAGTGCTTGCGAATATGTACTGATTGAGTCATTTTTTTACAATTTTTTTGTTCCAAGTTGAATCCAGCAGTCAGCTGATGTTGTTTACACAAAACAATAATCCTTGTTTTAAGGTTGAACAGTGGGTGGATCGAATCGTACAGAGCTCCCCATACTACACAAGTGGAGATGCTGTATGCTCGTCCGAAGAATCATCGCTTGGAAGAGAAAAGACAGCAACAACAACAGCAAGCTCATCTATCCCAATTCCACCGGAACTATACAATTTTTTATCAAATATGCCAGTATGTGAAGAGAACTAGATGGGTCTCGTCCTTTTTTGGGAGCATATCTATAATAAACCTTTGGTTTCACTTTATTAATAGAAATACCACCAAAATCCGTAAAACAAAGTTCCTTCAAACTGAGCCCTTTAAAGGAAGGAGCACCCGGGTGGATACGTCAGTTGGGTACCCAGTACTTGCATGAGCCCACCTTTTTGCACTAAGAATGCATCTCTCCCATTCCGGTGCTCTCCTCTACTAAGGCTTAGGCAAAAGCTATACTTCTCTGGCGAGGAACCTTCCTCAAGCTTAAGTAACATGTCTGCTACCACTCCTCTAGGCTCTACTTCCCCATACTGAAGAAGGTGGTGATCCCACTCCCAACTGAATTTTCACCAATCACATAAGTAACGCAGTTCCTGGGTTACGCGTTCTATTTTATATTGTGAGAGTTTCTCTGAAGGCTTTGTTTACAGTGATGTAAAAGTATGAACTCTAAGGGGGGACAGAGAGTACCCGTTCAATCCTACGGCAAGAAAAACTTTAAGCCTGTGAATTCTAAAACTTCGACATGGTATTTTTCTAAAAATGAATGGGCAGCAAGGGGCATCCTCGCATAAAGCATTATTTTATGGAAAAAGTCCAGAAAATGCTACATTGCTACGTCTACCTCATGTAAGAGGGATAAAAAGTGGAAGAAAGCAAATAGCGTACTCGGTCCCACCACTATCATGATCTGGTGATCGACTTCCCAAATCGGAACAGCACAAAACAGTCAAGCTATTCATCCCTCATGAGTTGGTTAACTGGTAAATGACTCTACTGGGAGGATAAAAGCCCTGACTTGACAGCGGCTGTCTGCAGAAAATCACTGTACAGGCTACATAAGCATTTAAAATGCCTACATGACAACAAGCAGTGAGAACGGTCGGCAAACGTGGTTCACAAAAGACAGCCTTCTCGTGAAAGCCGAAATGATTGTGAGAGACATT